GCAGTGTCTGGAGATGAAATGGTGGAGACAGTGTAAGGGAGGACTGGAGTTTCTTTTTGCTTAACCTCAGCTGCCTACTTAAAGAGTAATTGAATACTCTTCAGAGGGTATTTGAGTGCATTTTTCAGCAACTATGCCTGACCAGTATGAAGAATAAGGAGATATCTCAATCTGGCTTTATTCCCTTGGGTCAAGGAACTCAGTGTGTGTCTGTGTGCCTGTTGAGCCCATGTGCTTGTTTCTTTTTCTGGGTCCTTGGAATCAAAATCAAAACCAGGCCTGGCTGTTCCTTATAATTAAATTTCAGTAACTCAAGCTGGATGTTTTTATTTTGACTAGTGACTTAAAAGTGTTGGCATTTAAATGGCCTCAGCTATATTTCAAAGTTAACATTGAGAAACTTCACACATATATTAGCGTTATTTGTCTGTTGGCAAACTCAACAAAATACCACTGCGTTGATTTACATAGTGAAGGTTATCTTTGCTAACAGAAGGACTCAGAATTTCATTATTTAAAATATGAGGATGAATCTCATCTCAGTGCAGGAGGCTACAGATGGCATTACACACAACTTGCCACCTGAGTCAAGGGCAGAGGTGAAGTTTATATTGCACACTGAGCCTTGCGTTCAAATATACCTAAAAGACCCAAAAGCCAAAACCCACACAACATTATCTGCAGCCAGGACAGATCTGACTGTACCATGAGGACTTTTCCTTTCTGGTACTTAGGTTTGTTTCTGTATGTCTGTCTTCTCTCTCGAATTTATTTATAAGTCATTGATGACATTTATGCCATACATGGGCAGTTTGTGATGCAATAAACCAGTAATAGGCTCAGTATTCATTGCAGTTTCTATATTTGGGTATTTCAGTACATCAAAATCTGGATATAAGAAGTATTAACAGTCTTACGCCAGCAGAAAGAAATTAATTTTATGCCTGCCTCTGCACAGAAGCCAAAAGCTTCAGGAAATAGGATCTCTTCCCATAAGCATCTTTTCAGATCCAGTTAGGAGAGGGGAAGGTAAACAATGAAATGCAAGCTGCAGGGTGACAACATAGCAGTGAGATATGATCGTTCATGTGATAATACACGATTCACAATATGTTTCTGACTGGCACTCCAAGACTCCAGTACTTATTGATGATCTAGGTAGAACCTGGTTCCTGCTTTCATCAAGCCTTGTCCCATGGGAGCCCAGCCATGGCACAGAGCTGTGTGCAGCCTGACTGGGTAGAGAGAGGAAGAGTAACTTTTGAAAGTCTGAGTGCTTCTTGCTCTGACACAAATCCTGGGAACCAGTATGCACAGCCTAAAGAAAGCAGCAGCTCCAGTGTCTTCTGCATGCCCCACCAGCAGTGATGCAAAGCACCAGGTCCACGACATGGCGCAGTATTAGGAAGCTGCCTTTACTTTCTTGTGGCAGCTATTCCTAACCCAAGATTGACGCCCCAGAGAAGCATGGGGAATGCTTACTGAACCTGTCGAGGAGAACCAGGTGATCCTTGTGGGAAGTCAAGTGAAGCCACCACAGCTAGACCTGGCGTGCCCTGGGTGAATGTCTTCCTGACCACTGGCAGCAGTACTATATAACTGAGTAAGAAACAAGTGAGCACAACAGAAGAAAACAAACAAGGGAGGAGAAAAGCATCTTCTTGCCAAGACAAAGAGGGAAGCAATGAATGATGATTACTGAAGAATAATAACCCAGAATTAATGGAGAAGGGCAACAGCAAAAGCTGTGCACAGAACACAAACATTTTATGAGGGTAAACAGTGATATTAGTAGGGTGGCCAGAACTCATCGTCCATTCACAGAGTACTTGTCTGCATTACAGGACATGGCTGATGGCAGTGGCTAAGGGCGAGAACATTACCCTTGGAGGCTCTATAATTTTATCAGAAGAGCCCTTCCACAAAAGTAAAGCTGTTCCAAAGCTGAATGAAGGCCCTAGGTTTTGCTCTTGTTATTATTGGTGTTTTAAATTTAAATCAGTCTCAGATACTATTTGGGAAGAATGTTGAGCTACGGAGGCTTGAGGGTAGCTGCCAACTTAAGCACAACTAAATTCAGCCAGAGTCGTTGAGCAGAAGTGGAAGCAATAGCACACTGTATTAGAAACCAGGATTATAAAATCTCTGCCCACCAAAGAGACCAGAAGAATGTAGATAGCTCTATATTATTATTTTTAATGCAGTGAAGCCTAGAGGCTCCAATTACCAGGTCCCACTGAGCACATGGAGGCACCACAAAATAAAAACATGGAAACAGACCAAACCCTACCCCAAGCCCTTTTGGGAAAACAGAAAGGCTTATTGACGTTTTATCTTCCTATTAGTTTGATGAATGTAGGCAAACCTTGACTACCACACTTTGATTAATCCAAGGCAATCCTCTCCCTACCTCACTGCTTGAGAGAGCATAACTAAAGAGTGGATCTGGGACTGATTTTACAAAAACTTAAGCACCATCACTGCCTTTTGATCTCAGGGGACCTGTGGGTGCTTAGTGCATTCCAACATCAGGGCACCTTGCCCAGTATTGAAATAGGGAGGGAAAGGGTTGTCCCTGCAGGGCTCTGGCTTTCCCACGCTGCTGTGCTGAGGCTTTCCCTCAGCTGAATGCTTCTCCTAGAGTTTTCTCACCCCTCTGGGCCATGATGGATCCTCCCCAGCCTCCTCTTGCTGTCCTTCCTTGACTTGCATCCTCTCAGGTGCACCAGTCCCTCTTGCTCAAGGATTATCAGTGGCATGCTGAGGCTTTTCACTCTGCCCATAAGTTCAATGTCCCAGACAGAAAAATGCAGTGCCTATCCCTGCGTGATGCTGAGCATGGCCCAGGAAGGACGGCGGCACAGAGGAAGAGTTTGCCTTCCTGCCACAGAGGACGCCAAGCAGGAGGAGACATCTGAGAGGGAAGTGCTGAGAGTTTGCAGAGAGCTTAGGCAGGTAGCAGCATGTGCAGATGTGCAAAAACATGCCTGCAGACTTAAACCCTTGCCTCCTCTTTACTGGGTTTGGCATGGCATCTTTGGGAGATTTACTCGAGGGCTGGAGCACAGACATTTCACTAAGCTTGGAATTACCCTGACCCAGCAAAAAGCAAGCTCGCACCTCCCTTTGTGTGCAAAACTCTCCTGCGGCTGCAGAGAACAAACGCCAGCAGGAGCCGTGAGACCTGGACAAATGTGTGCTCCGGTGCACCTCCTGCCCCCCACCCCTCGGAGCACTGAAGGATCTGCAGGGTACGTCAGGGTTGTTCAAGCTCAGATGTGCGTTTCCAAGCACACCAGAAAAAAAGAAAAAAAAAAAAAGAAAAGAAAGGAAAAAAGAAAAGAAAAAAGAAAAAAGAAAAAGAAAAAAGAAAAAGAAAAAGAAAAAGAAAAAGAAAAAGAAAAAGAAAAAGAAAAAGAAAAAGAAAAAGAAAAAAAAAAAGAAAAAGAAAAAGAAAAAAAAGAAAAAGAAAAAGGAAAAGGAAAAGGAAAAGAAAAAGAAAAAGAAAAAGAAAAAAAAGAAAAAGAAAAAGGAAAAGGAAAAGGAAAAGAAAAAGAAAAAGAAAAAGAAAAAAAAGAAAAA